CGCCGCCGGGAGTCACGTGACCCCCGGCGCGCCGCCTCCTCCTCCTCCTCCTCCTCCGCTCTCCCCCGGGGACCGGAGCCGCCTGAAGTGGAAGAGTCCAAGCGGGCACCAGCGGAGAGGGGGCGGCCGGCGCCGGAGAGTCCAAACCATTACTGCGGGGGGGAGAGGTAGGCGCGGAGCTCCCCCCGGCGGCCCGCAGCGGAAGGGACGGGCGGGCTCGCCGCCCTTGGCGCGCCCACCCGCGGAAAACCGCCCCGCGTTCCTCCGGCCGCGGCTCGGAAGAAGCGAGGGGCCGGCTCGCCGCAGGGAGCGGACCGCCCCTCGTCAGCAGTGCCCCAGCAGGGCGCTAGTGCGGGGCGGCTGCTACAGGCGACACGGCGCGGGCAAACGATCCCGGTTCTCTTCTCCTGTTCGGCGTGGGAGCGAACAGCAGCTGGATGGGGACAAGGTTGTCGCTAAGTCGTTAACGGGCATCGTTAGGGCCTGCGCAACACTGAGCATCATTCACGAGTCGGGTGGAAATAGCCCGTAGGCTGATGCTTGGACAACTTTACCCTGCGCAGGAAACTGGAATAATAAAAGTGCAAGCATCCAAATGCCTCAAAACCTATGTCGGTGCCTTAGCCAAAAGCCAAGCTCTTTATTTAATAATGTAAGAGCTTTCCCATACTCTTTTAGCACACTCCACGTCTCATTTCTATTTCAGCAGGAAACGTTTTGTGGAGTTGAAGTGCTAAATAGCTACTTTATTAAACAAATCACTCCCCCGCCCTGACCTGTAACTCATTATTTAGTTATTCACACCAGACTTTTGGTTGACTGCTACTAGAACAGCTTCAACCATAGTAGATGCAGACGGGCTGGTTGCCTGAACTACTACATGCCGCTTTTTCCCAATACAAGTTGCAAACACCAAAACCAAGATACCACATCTATACATACTTCATAGAAAATTTATGATTCTTTAGATGCACTGTTTCCTTAAGACCCATTAACAACATTTGTTTATCTATCAAAAACAAACTGCTAGAAATTAAAGTATGCTTTGATGATTACAGTAATTTCCTAGACAAAGGAGGAACAAAATTATAATACACAAAATTATCGTTGTAATAATTTAAGATATAGCAGCCTTCAGTTATCATAAACCATTAGTGGCAAAATGAATTTTAGATATAAACTAAGATATGAATGGAGTTATGCAACAGGAGTGGCTGTACAAGAAGGCTCTTGCTGTCTCTAGCTGCTTCAGGTATTTTACCATGATGCCATCCATGTAAGACTCACAAACTTTTCCAACAGGTAACTCCTGAGTTCTGTAAAGATTACTATATGAAAAAAGACACGACTAAGCCTTAACTTCATCAGGTTAAACTCAGAGCAGTGATTCTGCAGTGATATTTCGTTTCCTGTTTCCATCTAAGAGCTGAAACAGGTCCCAGCCAAAAGCTTTTATCACTTGCTTTAAGAAAAGGTATCATCTCTCAGCTTCTTACAAGCCTTCTCTTGTTTATATTTTTATATTTTCCCCTGTTTACATTCTTGCTATCATGGGCAGAACAAAATTTTAGCTATTATTATCACTCATTGCCTTCTAGTTTTTGCTGGCCTCTATTTGGAAGTTTTCATGTGAATAAAAAGTATAAATATATACAAGTAAAATAAGATGAATAAAGTACTTGGTAAGACTGATATTTTCTGATCATTTTGTTAAACAAACAATAACCAATAACTTAATTCCACTTGATGCTTAACAGAAATCATCTTTTGGCAGGAGAAAGTTTAGAGACTACAGACATGATCTTTGAGAAGGAAGTCACTGAAAAAGAGAGGATTCTCATCTACTGGAGATATTCCTATTTCTCCTTCAAGAAGCATATCACTGTAGGACAAAATTTAGACTTCAAAGTTGGGACTCTATTAACTGAGAACGTTTTGCTACAAATTGCAATACAGTCTCATGAAATAGTAGGGCTCTGCACATGGAATTTGCCCTTGCAAAGCACTCTGTGAACTCTTATTTTGTCTTATTTTGTGGATAGACAGCAATCTGTTCATAAAAATACTTGGCAGGGTTTGGACAAGAGTATCTTCTAGAAGAAGCATCCCATGCGATGTCAGTTGCTGGAATAAAAGTGAGTATAGGTCTATGTGGGGCAGCTGGATTCTAAAGAGCCAAAACTGTTCAGCATTTGAGCCTATCTTGCTTTCTTCCACCCTCTATCTTTCTCCTACAGCTGCTATCTCTACCGTTCCATCCTGCCTCTCTCGGTGGGATGCTTTCTATCAGGTAGCAGCAAATGTTCTGTTGGCTGCTGGCTGGCCAATTTCCATCAGCTTCAGCAGGGAGTGACTGTGCAGACTGTTCATATCCACTGAGTAACACCAAAGAACTGGATAAACATCTTCTGGTCACCTTACTTTCCCCCCTCCACCCCCCACCTTGAGATTTCACTTTAAAGCAATATTTTATTTGTATTTGAAAATTAGATCTGGTCTAGTAAATACATCTATTTAAAACAAAAAAAAAACCAAACAAGCAAACACCAGAAATGTCATACTTATTTTTAAAACACTTTTCCTTATTTTTCAAACAGCCACAGAAAACATGAAACATTTCAAAAAGTCAACATCATATTAATAGAAAAGCAACTAAGAGCTGGTTACATGATGACTATGTTCTACTAAAATGATAAAGCCGTGAAAATGCCAGATATACCAACTTACCTAATTTCATTAGAAATGAAGAAACATTGTATGTAAAATTAGTTATATATTAGCATAATACTGTATGAACAGTATGCATGTTACATTATACTTATTTATATATACCATATACATATATTATCAACATACTATGCAATGTATGCTGTGTATATAAATATAGGATATATAGAGTATAAATAATGTATTTTACATATAATTGTATAAATATAACACCTGCATATATTTAATATACAATGTAAATTAAATAGTATATTCAATATATGCTTACTATGTCTATTACATTAATATAATTGTCTGTTATGTTAGTAAGATCCTCATTTGTATACTGGGTATGAGCATCTTTTAATAAGCTTAATGCAAACTGGAAATAGGAGTAGGGAAGGGTCTGAATGAAAGCAAGATAAATGGAGAATCTACCTGACAAAGGAGGATTAAACAAGCTGAGTTGCTTATTCTTTCAAAATTAATGCTGAAAGATAACGCAATTGTTCTTCATATAATCAGTCAGAGAGTTAAAAGATCAGGAACAGAAAGTCTGAAACTAAAGAACAATGATAATGCTACAATAAAAAAAGTGTAACCACCCTTCAATAAATCCAGGCTGATAATTAGAATAAATTTTCTAACCACTGGAGAAATAAGGTTTTAAACAAAGTTTTCCAACAAGAGTAGTGAGGAATAAAGTCCTTATAAGTTTTAAGGAGGAGCTTGGTGAGCTTATAAAAAGGATTTTGTGTGATCACTGCCACTGGAAGCAGAGACACTCAGCGGTCAGACACATACATACCAATGTCTATATCTGTGCAGAATCTTTTACAAAGTGGTTTACATACAGTGGTTCAAACACTGTATAGCAAAGTTCATAGTTAAAACTGAAGTGGAAGCCAGCTCTTAGATGTATTACAGTTTCGTGTTATCTGTGATCTTCATTAATCTAAGATAATTTGGCTCTTTTTCAATGTGATCATGAAAGCTGCAAAAAACCTATTAGAAAATACCTGTTGTTGTTTGCCAGTAGTGATCATCATTCTGAGGACATGATCTTGCTCCAGTTACTTCTCATGATACACCAGCATGGACAGAGACACACTGCTAGAGAACACGTTTGTAGAATGTATATATATTCACCAGCTCCTAAAACAAACAGGTATCCAAAAATTCAAATGGGATTGTTGCTGTCTCAACATACACTGCAACTACACCATTTACTCCTGTGACTGTCCAGCGATATCCACTATCATGCATGCACAGAATATTGTGAATTTTATCAAGAATTGCAACCAGAATATTTCAACAAATTGTAGAATCACCATGTCACAATAATCTTGCCACTCCTTGTTTAAATTCGTGAGAACACTTCTCCTACTTAAGAAAAAATTGATGACATTTTCAGTCATTGCATCTCAAAAGCAACTATAGATCAGCAAACACTGGTCTGAGATAGTCTGACAGGCCATGCAGCTAGTCCTCCTCCCAGTCCTCTAGTGGACACAAAGTGCTTGCTGTGAACTACGTTTTTGTAGTGTTAACACTCAAATTGACACATCTATAGCTCCAGGTAAATGAACCTACTGCTCTGAAACAGTTCCTTATTTTTGACAGTTCAGCTTGATTCTGAATGTCTCAGAAGCTACTTCTGAGGCAAGCTTGTTTTGCAAAAGATATGTTAGGAAGTAAATAACAGTTCAAACTTTGCTATACGTTTCCACATTGCTCTACGTAGCAGTAAATGCCTTTATAGACTGTCATATTTTAAAATTTGGTATGGCTTAAAAGAGTGTAATTATACATAAAATTTGTTGTATTACTGAAAATCAACGTGAAACTGATTAGTCAATTGCTGATGAGTGCATTTCAGGGATGAGAACTCAGTAAAAAAATGTGCATCTCCAAATTTCTCCTTACCTGTTTATTCTGTTTTCATTACCAGTTTGCATCGTAATTTTTATACTAGAAACTGAGCTTTTGCTATACAGCATGTCTCATTCATTCCAAATGTAACAATCTCTCTTGAGTCAGGATCTCCCACTAAGCAACTGGTTCACAACACCTCTCCACTGACAATCTTAATCTGATGTATATTAATATTTTGGTAGCTTTTAGATCATCATTGCACAATACTCAGAAATCTGGCACTGAGTTGCCTAGAACGATGCTCAGTATTTTTCTTCTCTAGTCAGTTACAGTTAACTTAGAATTCATAACAGGCTTCCTTCAGCAAAATACCTTATTTTTCATGAAGTCATTAAGACCAAAGAATCTCTCCTGCACTTTCACACACTCAAGCCCAAATCCAGATATTTGGCAGGTATGCATATAAACTCTACCTCTGCTGCATTTCATCATCCTGAAACAGACACCAGCTCTTTAGGGGACAAACGTTGACAGTCACCTCCCTTCCATTTCCCTTATCCAAGATGGCTCTAGAGCAGGCTGTTTCTGCCCTCAGCTATGATGGCTATCATAAAATTTTTATGGACTTCCTGCCCAGAAAAAGGATGGCCACCTAAGTGGCATCTTGCTGCCCTTACCTAACATGGCTACCAAAGCTCACTCCCTCTTTTGGTTGTGTGGCAAACAGTGGTTCGCAGAAACGAAGCATGAGCTTACATGTCTTCCTTACTCCTCCTGAGCGCAGTACAGCGGCTGAGCATTTTATACTGAACTCTCTTCATTCACCTGTTGCTTTCCACAGTTCTAAGATGGACACTTTCTGGTAAGCATCAAATACCTCATAAAATACCCATACAATAGTTGTATCTCATTTCAGAATGCAACCACTTTCTATATTTTGACCTTAGTCTATGAGTCTGCCCCGATAACTTTTGAACTCATTAGGCAATTTGAAACAGGAGTAAAAAAAGTCTGAGAGATAACTAAACCCATCCAACTTCTCTGAAAGCTGGCACCCATACAGAAAAGGAAGGCTTAAATTAATGCCCTCGCTGAAAAGTAGGTAGAACTCTGTTGTTACATGAGCCACTTGGCAGCGCCAAAAAGTGTTAGAAAGGCAGCTGGCACGTACCATTGCTTTCCCTGTGGGACTGTCAAAATGGGATTTCTCCAGGGGACGGAGAAGGGTTCAGGATACTGTAATACAGCAGTGGCTTACAGTTTAAAGGAGACATATATTTAGAGTATTAGTTTGTTCTACTGGTCGCATAAAGACTTGAGAAAGATACTATACACACTATACAGTAGTATGAAATTTGTTTGAATCTCAGGATCTAAAAATTATACTTACAGAGAACATCAGAAAAAGATATCCACTGCTCAGTTTATCTTTTTAACTTGATTCTCTTAGGCCCTATAGATGGTAATGGTTCTTCATGTTTAATTTTACTTTCAGACTCCTTTCTCCATTAAACATGCATACAAAAACATAAAACATGCTCTCATAAATGTTATTGTCATTCCAACACCTGTAGTACCCTTTGTTCCCACCTTTTATGACTTTGCAATTCCAAAATGTTCTCAATTATTTCTACTTTTGCAACTCTTTCCCTCAAATCTAACTCCTGATGGACTTAAATTTATTCCTCATTTTCCCCATCCTCTTTTTATATCCCTTTCCTTCCCCCTTTTGATTAATTATGGCACCTTGTGTGCTATAAGCAATAGCCATATGGAATTTCCATTTATTTAAAAAAATGAGTAAATTAGGAACATATTTATCACAATAGTACAATTTCATAAACAAGCTGATGAAAGCCATGAAGTGGTGTGCAAGATATTTTTTCATTTTTCTCCTGTCAGGAGAATTGAAAACTATGGACATACAGTCCTAAAGCTTCCACCTATTAGTCCTTCTTTTTTTTTGTCTTCAAAAATCAGACTCATCTCTCATCTTGGATCTCATTTCTTTGCTTCAAACACAGATGTTACAGCCTGGTTTTGCTGCCTTTTTCTCATTGGAAGAAAACAGAAGAAAACTAGGCTGTAATGAATCACCCCCCCACGCCCCCTTCACAGTGCAGTCAGAAAGGGAAAAAAAATTAAGACAGCCCTGAGATTTTACTGTGCTATAACTAATAACGCAGCAATCATGCTTTCTCTCATACACTGCACTGCCTTACCTCAAATGTTGCTTATTTCCCTCACATATTGCCGGCTAAACTGCCCGGCCCAACTCCACTTCTCCACAGCCGCCTGGCCTTTCTGGCATCCTGGCACCAGAGAAACCTGTCATACCCCTAATCCTAACACCTTGTCACAGAATAATTATAGTGCTGGCACGACTCCAACATCTATCTTATATCAATCAATCTCCAGTTGTTTGCTTTATAGGGAATGACAGATTTAAAAATGAATTCAGACCGGAGAGACCTGTTCGGCACTAGCCTACCGTATGACCTTGAAAAGTAACAACCTTTCCTTGGCTTCTAGAAAATGGGGACAAATATGACCTTGGATGATGGTCCAAGACCTACTGAGGGAAAACACTGCACCAGTGACCCCACCTCTGTCCTGCCCTGACCCTTCTCTGTCACTCTGCCTTGAGCTTGCAGTTACCACTTGAAGGGCTCCCCCCCGGCTCCAGCTGCCAACCCGTAACTGGAGAGGGCAAAACACGGCCAGCGTTCCTCCCTCCCCAAGACACGTCAAACGACACTGCGGCTTCCAAAACGTTCAACCTAGGATCATAAAACGCCACGAAGAGCACGGGGCAAGCAGGAGGATGCGGGGGAGACTCCTGCACTCTCGCCGGAGAGCTCTGCTGATAACGTGTGACCCCACTTTCTCCTCAGCGTTCCCCTACTCAACGGCAGACGAGCCCCGCTCGCCCCCTCCCTCCCCAGGGCAGAGCTGAGGAGAACAGGGGAGGGGAAAGAGATGGCACCCGGCCCCGGGGGCTCACTCACCTCAGAGACCTGCCCCCGCTCCCACCTGCTAACACGTCCTAGCTGTGCCCTTCCGCAGCAGCCCCTCTCCCCCTTGCCCCGCTTCGCAGGAGACCGCCCGGCCCCCCGCACCCTCACGGCTCAGCCCGCCGCCCACCTCCCCTCACAAGCACCCCC